AGACAGTTTTCTTCCATGGCACATCTCAGCATCGATAAGGGAAAAACATTCAATTCCATGTTCCTTCTGAGAATATCGGTGTTAACGACAAGATCAGGTAGAGCTGGGGAGGGAAAGAATGCTTTAGCAACACGATTTCTGATCTTTGAACGAGGGTCAGAGATCCCCAGAAAAACAGATCTCTAAAGAGATAGGCCAGGAGGGAATTTCGATGTCGAATAAATAGGTCAAAGAAAGGTTATGAATGCGTATCACTCTGCGACGTCTCCGCGAAAGGCAGCTTGTGATCTTGAATTTGAGTGATTGCAAATAGCTACCCACAAGAACACAAGAGAAATGCCCGGTCGTGGTTGAAAATTTCTAGTCTGTCATCTTGACTTTCCAAGTGGCTATAGCAGTGGTATAAGCTCAGTGTCAAGCCATAAATAGTACAACAGCCCACATTTTTCATCATAAAAAGACCATCAACTTATAAAGAAAATAACTTCTGTAAAGTTTCATTTTTATCCCGAGAAGGGACTTCAAAATCACTTGAACATTCCTGGATATCTCTTTAGTTGAAGAACTGGACTGTAAGGTGCTCTTCCAAACTTTTGAAGTACTGTAATATTGATTGTTTTGTTGATAACTGAACAGATAGCTGTTGCATCCCATGTGACTGAAAATGAAATGACATAAGTCTCACCACTGACGCAGGCAACTCCAGCTGACTTCTTTTTGTCACTGCAGGTGGTGTTTGTCCACTCGTCATGCTCACAATTGTAAATAGAGATATCATTCACATGGCATTGGACACCAGACATGATAACTTCGAGATCTGTTTGACTGAAGGTTTGATTCGTGATTGCATCACTGGCAAATCCAAGATTTAACTGTCGGCAAACTATCATGGCCTCTTCTATTCCCCATCCATCAGCACAAACGGTTCCCCATTTTCCGTCATGGAAAACTTCAACCCGACCCTCAAGATGGTTTGCACCACCTCTGATACGAACCTGTAACATAACGCCAAAATGAAATGGTTCTCATGTAAACTTGTTCGTGTCGAATCCAAAAACTATGTGCTACTGCCGGCTCAAAACCAAATGTTAGTTTAACGGTATATTCTTCCTATGTTGGCCTAATGCAAATCGGTATCTTTTTAACCACATCAGAAATACAGTTCTTTAAGTATATAACAAAAGAAAGGGATTTGACCAACATCCTACATTAAAGACCTCGCGTACACGGGAAACACAGATTTCCTTCCTTCCTTCCCGTAAAACCAATTCGGTTCAAGTTCAAGTAAGGGTGAAATACACGGACAGGCGTATCATTTTATTCAATAGACGTATTGCCTACCTCATGGCCTTGAAGGGAAGGCACATTACATCTGACACCAGCGTCTTCATGATGATCACAGTTGGACTTCTGCCATCTGCTTTTCTTACACTGTTTGATACTCTTCTCGTTTCCCACACAGTATACATCATCAAGCATGATCTGAATTTAATAGTGAAATAACGAAAAAAAAAACATTTTCACTTCCTGTTTAAGTTAATACGTGAAGGAGCACGGCTAATTTTAAGCTAGATAACCAACCGCTGTTTGGGAGGTGAGCCTCGCTTCTCCTCCCTCCTCATCTCTTGGAAAGGAACGGAGACTGGACTCGACAAAGAGTTCGAAATTGCCATACGTTTCCTTAGCTGGTCCATTGCAAGTTTCTCCAGGGATTTGTCATGGTGGCTGGACACAGTGCCGAATCCACTCCGTTTTGCGTGTCCGCTTTGTTAAAAGATAAGGTTCTTAGAGAACGAGTTTATTTTCCAGTAATAACTGAGTTCTGAACCACTAAATCCGATTACCACTTTTTGCAGTAAAAAAAAAGTAAAGAAACCATTTTTCTTCGAAAGGTTTTCTAGGAATCTTCAATTTGAAATGGAGGCTAAAATAAAAGTTCAATAGACCAATTTAATAGCACTGAAAATTGTTTACTGTAATACCTTTCCAATTCCTCTTCCGTAATACGCATTCCTTGATGCCATTGTCGCTGTTCCGTAACCCATGGACCTGCAGACCACATTAGCTTCCCTTATGGTCCAGTGATCATCACAAATGGTGCCCCAGTATCTGCTATGCTGAATTTCCACACGTCCCTCGGATACCAGGGCCCCACTTCGTAATCTCACGTCGAGTGGCTACAAAGAGATTTCACAGGGTTTGAAAGTGTTACTTAATGTCAAATGGCCATAGTGCGGGAGCCCTAATAATTGCGGCAGAAACCCAAACCTTGCAGATTTGCTGCTTGAGCTAACATAAGAATTTAGAGGAAGAATGCATGTCCGTTGATGGACACTTTCCAATCTAGCAACAGCATAAACGCACCTATAAGATCAAAGTTTGATCCAACCACGCAATTTGCTTCTTGTATGATGTACGATGGGGAACAATCACGATTCGAACTCAGTGCGCAAACTCACAGGGTGACTTAACTCCTTTAATTAAATCCTAAAGCAAGTGAAATTCAATCGCATGTAGACATTAGTCTTACCAAAAATCAAAACAATTTCAATAGACGCTTTAGGAGTAGAAAGATCTTAAACATTATAACTGATGAATTCCTTTTACCCTTTTTGAGTCTATCAACTGCGATTTATATCAGGATACTCACCTTTCTTAGTAATCTCCTGACACATTCGATCCGCACCGCTCCTCCATCTTCACATTGATGACGACCCCACCCTGTATGGTCACATGACACAATCGACCCCTCCCATCCTTTGCATGTCACCTGGTCCAGCCAATAGACGGGCTCTACATCTTGGATGGTTTCTGTATGCGTCGTTGGTGTCTTGGCAGCAGGGAAACCAAGCTGGCCGCACAGCACGTACGAGTTACTTTGAGTCCATTTGGAGGGACAAATATAACCCCACTTTCCCTCATGCTCCACTAGGACGACACCTTCTGATATGTAGTCATCAACAACTGGACCTTTTAACCTGATATTGACTTTTGAAATCTGCATTGTGATCGGAAGGTAAAACATTATTATGCAGTCCTGATCCCCCTTTTGTGTGAATGAATCATGTGCAATTTTTTGGACCACCTACTAAAGGAGGCCTATTCCCACAAAATCAACAAGATCCGCACATAGTTTTGATCCGTTATCAAGACTGGGTGACAAAGCTTGCTTTTTCAGGCACCATAAACCAAAAGGTTCCTTAAATCAATAGTTGGTAGATACGTATATTTTTAAGCACCTTTTTTTTTTTAACTTCGATCGATCATTATCCACGCGCTATTCTCAACCTCTTTTATTCATTGTCCGGAGGAATAAAGCGTAATCTAAATATTGATTTTTTCAAGTGATTTGCACCCTCTGATTGGTTGAGGATTAAGTCATATCTTACTTGCTATCTTTGAATATACAAACAAAAATCCTTAGAAACTTTGAATGAGTCTGCGACAAGGAACTGGATTGGAAAACAATGTTATCGATAATATTAATTAAGGTAATACCTGACCGCTCGCTTGCGAAGGCTTGGGCTCAACAATGAGGTTACTCAAACGCCGTCTGCAAACAGCACCAGCCTGATTATAATATTGACAGTTATGTCGGCCCCAGGGCCTGTGCGAACATTTGTCAATCGAATCCTCCTCTCCAGAGCATCGGACGTCATCGAGCCAGAATTTCCCCGGCTTTCCAACACCAAATGCATGATATCTAGGGAGCCAAGAAAATAGAATACTCAGTTTTAATTTGAGTTTAGGTAGAAGCGGTTGCAATTTACCTAACAATTAGGCGTGTTTTGTGATGACATTTTAGGCGTAAGTAAAACAATTGTCCATCCCACACAAAAGACTTTTAATAATCTAATTAATCATCCTTTCAATTTTGTGAAGTGTGCCGTCAAACGGAGATATGAGGAAAAACCCCAGTTATCCCTTGTATCTTGATAAGAAATCTTACGATGATCAGTAGTTTATGTTTACAACTTGCTCAAAGTGTTCAGGCCGTCAATATATCCGCAGGCTTTGCGACAAGTGACGACCAATGACGGATCTATTTCATTCAATCAATTGTACAGTCAATCCCGGTTAACACGAGCCCTTGCCTACTCAAACCTCGCACTAACTTGACTTAAAATCGATTACCACCGAATAACCGTTTATTATTTACTGTAATTTCTGTCACAGTAGCTGGAATCCGTCGCAACAGGAACCAGTTTTCATTCCCTTCAGATCCAATGAGGATCACCCAAGAATTCTTGTTAAGGATGTGCCACCCCACCCCACAAATCCTGCCCCTATTTCATAACAAAACATGCCATTTCCCGCCCCCTTTCTCTAACGTGGCCTAAAACTCTTACACATTTTCAATTGAAGATTTAAAGTCAGACAAATTCATTTTCTCTCGAGATTCCGTTGAAAACCCCACCTTAACACCATAATGTTCATAATTATCGTAAGACCAAGACCAGAACATCGCATGATGTGAAGCAGCCGAGCTAGGGGAGGGGGAGGAGGGGGGCTTGATGAAAAGTATGAGTCGAGTTCAGGTCTCGCTTGTTTAGGACTAATATTATCCCCGACAAGCTTCTCCGTCTACCTAAATCCTTCTTGAATATTTTTAAATTTTAAATCCGCCAGTACCCGTATAGAACTTCATAGTTATACTGTATTAGCAGAAATACAGTTAACACTGTGTTTCTCCTTAATTATGACCACTGTTCTCAACTACCGATAATCGAACTCCACTTGGACAAATTAGACCTTTGTAGTTTTCCCCTCAAGTTTTAGTTATATGGAGTCGAATATATGGGACTCTGCCCAAAGCCCTCCTAGCTGACGAGAGCTCTAACTCACATGTGCTATCATGAACTATCACTAATTCCCACCAACATCATGTAGTGTGGACCTGCTGCAATTGGACATCGTGGTTGATCATTGTTTTTTTCCGTTTGATTACCAAATAATGCTGCATGATTGTATTTTGGTTAGAGCGGTTCTGTTAAAGACAGGTTAATGTCAATTGGCTGCCGCAAAGTCGCCGTCCTGTGAAACATATAGCCGAGATTTTGATGAATGTTTGAAAAGTAGGGAAGTAAAAATTCCAAAATGTAGGCCAGTTGGCTACTTAGGCAATTTCGACAAAAGATTATCAACCATTATGAACCGTTTGATCGCCAACATATCAATCAATGATAGCGAATGATAGCTGGGGTCAGAAAATAGCACCAACCATCTTCTTCGTTATAATAAAGAGAAACACAATAATAATATGAGGAAGGAGTCTCTAAATATTTGAGATATTTGATATCTTTTAGATCCAAAACCACCAGCTATGCAAGATGTAGGCAAGATGTTACCAGATGTAAGTTACATAATGTTTTTAAAGGAGTTATTAAGAGTGGTAGCAGACAGCCACTACTGTACAACAAATTTTGTAGAGCAGACACACATTAAGTCACAAACGCATTTAAAGGAACAGAAGGGTGACTAAATAGGCAGCAAGTTCTCACTCAGTCGCTTTAATATCTGACGCGAAAAATGTTTCACTCAATGCGTTATTGACATATCTTCCCTGCGGGAATTTCTGTACAAAGATTTCTGTCACACAATCTTTCCTCCAGAAGGGCAAGAGAGGGGCACAGGAGAGGATCTCTGGTGACTGTTTAGACCAGTACAAACAGAACTCCAGCTCACTCGTCTTCCAATTACTGGTATTCTCGAGAACAAATGAAAATGGCTCTAGCGGATGAGCCCAAATGCTTAACTACAGTGCATTACATAATAAGACCGCTGTGTTCTTTGATTAAAAAAAAATGGCCATACAGTATCTTAACTGTAATTGTAGAGCAAACTGGACTTTCCTTGTCTTCATGACATTGCCAACATGTAAACGGTGTAACAGGGAGTTGTAGACTGAACTCACAATTATACTACTTACATAAACATCAGTACAGCCCTTGACAGGAACTTTGAAAAGTGATTTACACCGAATGAATTATATTCTACTGACCCCTTGGTATACCGCAGCACATCAGGAAATCCAAGCATGCGGCAGACAACTCGGGCCCCGTTTCTCTCCCAGCCGTGATCACAAACAGCTTTCCACGTTCCATTGTATAACACCTCAATTCGTCCCTCGTACAAGTGTTTTCCACCTTTTAGGCGAACTAGAACTCCTCTTGAAATCTCAATGCTGGTCAGTACTAATCCAAGTAAAATCCAATTCATTGCAATTTGAACGTCGAAAACGAGACCAACATAAACAACAAATTTGTTTCGATCAATTCCGCAAAATATAATACGAATCAGCTATGTAAACAGAGCGGCCCAGGACAAAAGTACATGCGACATTTCACTCAATTTACCCAAAACATGAAATCAGATCTCCTCCAGAACTGCTGCTGAGTTCGCTGAACAGACATCCCTTGTTTCCAGCAGCGATGAGAACACAATGATTCTTTATGATGTCACAAAACAAGAAGAGTATCCGGTTCCAATATCACATTCTAAAGCTTGGGAGTGGAGAGTGAAAAATTCCTTTTTCATATATTTCACGAATGACTTGTTGTAAAGTAGCCTGAACCAATACATATCCAAACAGACCTCAATCAAGGCCCTATTTAATTAAATATCTTAGGTCATATCATCGCCTAGAGCACGTCTTTTAGGACCTACTTGAAGATCTCGAGGATTTCGTAACGGTATTCATTCAGTGGTTCGAATCCCGTACAGGCCTGATTTTTTTCAGGTCTGATTTTCGCTATTGCATAAATAGCGCTCTCTACTGCGAGGATCGTGCATCATATGTATCTATAACCGCAGTTCAAAATATATGAACTTTATATATCCATCGTACCAGTATTCATTCATTTCCCCATCCATCTATCCATTACTCGTTAGTTCATTGGTTCGTTCTTGTATACGTTTTCATTCGTCACTTTTTGTAGTTGTTGGTTTTGGTTTCATTTAAATGGAAAGTGCTTTGCGCCAACAAAAGAAAGGTGATCAATATAAGCAACTGCCGAATGAGCACAAAACTGTCTCGCTCCCTGCGAATAAGGTTATTTTCATAAATTTGGGATCAAATGAAATGGGATCGAATATCTTGAACGTCAATTAATTTTTTCCCCTGAATAGTGCAAAGCCGATAGTTCACAAGTATAAGTCACAAAATGTTCATCCCCAAGCTAGACAAGCTATTCAAATGAACGCCTCTGCCCAGTTGATCATAGAAATGAATTGTAGCCCCTGATTGTGGTAGGATATGAAATCATCTTTCCTTCGACAAAGATAAGAGTGCGGGACTGGATTCTGTCCGATATCTTTGGAAAACAAGGTGAAAACATTTGGTCAACTGATCACTTGAGCGGATTACGTCTCAATATAAGTATGAGCTTTATTCGGCACGCGAGAATTCAATTAACTGTCATTTGACTCCGTCAGGAAACACACAGACCCGGCAACAACCATAGAAAACAGCACGAACACAGCTCTGAAAGATTGTTAAGAGATTTAAACAAGACCCTCAAATCCATCTTAAAGAGTGATTATCTAGTTACTGATGATTAGTTTAAGCTCACAAGAAATGAGACTGGACAGGCCTCAGGAGAAGGCACGATTTAATATTCGGAAACTCACTCGCATATTGAGAAGAACTGATTATGTTCTTGTTTTGCTGGGTCTCACGCTCCAGAGTGACTGTAAATTTAGCACTCACGCAAAGCTGAAGCTAATGAAAGCAAACAAATGCCTACACATTCTGCGAACTTTCAGGAAAAAACGCTATAGTCAACGAAAAATAAACCATGTCTTTAGATCTATTGTTTTACCAATTTTGACGTTGGGCCTTCCTGTGTATGGAACCTTTGAATCAGACCTTAAGCAAATCCAGCGCTTCTTAGATAAATGTTAGAAGCAGCGATATAGTTCCTGTCACTTCATTATTTCAAGCCTTTTTGGACACAGGACAGAAAAAAATTTTTATAAGATGATCTCACTGGGCTCGCACACGCAGCCCCTAAACACATCCTTCCTGAAGAGGAAAATACCCCATATAATCTAAGTAGGAAAGGGTGCTTTTGCCCCAGAGTTAATACCCAACACTTCAAATCCACGTTTGTAAGTAGGTGTATTTTTAAGTACAGATTAGTTTAGTTTTAAATATTGTAACATAGGATATCTGTTTTTATCCTTTGAACTGATATAAAGACTATATTGTATTACTATATCCAAGGCTATAAATAGAACGAATTTCTAGTTGCAATCATTCTGAGTTCCAAAATTTTGAATTGTCAAACAAACATTACAGGGGTTGTTCCTTAATGAACACTCTGAAAGGATATTTAGGAGGCCATGTTCACATTGCCATTTTACAGGAAAATTTTGTGCCAAAAGTTACGCAAATAAGGACAATAAGGTAGGGGCGTATCAAATAACGGCGAATTATGCGATTACCTCGGTCTGTATATTATGAGATCTAATGCTCCTAATTAACTCATTCTGTATATTGTACGATTTAACGCCGTTAGTTAATGGCGTAAAATCGTACACTAAATATGATACCGGCGATATACAACACAAATACTTAGTACAAGAAATAACGCCATAACTAAGTATAGTAAACAAATAACTTGCAAAAGAGCTACTTATTAGTTTTCAGATCTAAGACTGTCTTCTTATCTCGAAATCCAAAGATCCAATGCCATATGGCTGTGTTCCCAGTCTTATGAGAGAGTAATTGTTTTCTGATCCTTCAAGATCCTTCTGATAGGATACGTATTAAATTTCATTTTAGGGCCTCGCGTACAACTGTCATCTGTCACGCGCGGTTTGCGCAGCCAAAACCTTCATTGTGCAGGTTTTTCTTTGGTTGTGCGTTTCCGAGACTCCAAATTTCCGTTTTGGATTCGCACCTTTTCATTAAAGAAGGCGTATCCCAACAAAACAAATTCCTTTTCTTGACATTAGACCAACATACCACATCGTATCGACCCACGAACCGCTGTTGTATTCGTTTGTATCGTGGTGAGCTCTATCATATACAGTATGGCGTTGTTATGGTATATATGTGTGGCTCTTCTGCTAGCCGGGGTAACTAGTGCTTTGACTGGAATTCGCCTAAGAGGAGGGAAGCATCTCTATGAAGGTCGGATTGAAGTTGAGCACGAAGGACAGTGGAAAGCAATATGTGATCATGGATGGAACAAAAACGCAGCTAGAGTGGTTTGCCGAATGCTTGGGTACCCAGACATGCTGCGCTACACAAAGGGGTTAGTTACACAGGTACCTTCCATTTAACCTATCTGCGGGTTTGTTATTACTCACTTCATACAAAGATTCAATTCCGAAATATTTCGTGGTTTTCAGTAGTGCTTGCAAAAAATTGCCCTTGTTGGGTAAGTTCTGCTGACATCATCAACGCTGGCTGAAGAGGCTATGCTTGCACTTCACATCCCAGCGAAGCGAATTTCGATTGATCGTGTCGACACCTTATAACGTGTCTCGTATTAATTTAGACTTCTTACAGTATTCTATTTCTCTATTTTGTGTTTCAAATGTACAAAATCTTTCTGCACTATTACCCTCGCCTCCTCGAACCTTCTCCTTGCAGTGAATCTACTGTCAGTATCAACTATATTATAGAAATTATACAGTTTCTTGAAGGTTCTGTCCTCAGTCGACGAGACTGAAAAGTATCTCGCCGTTCACCGCTAGGTCGTAGAGGTCGAATTATCAAGTTGTCAGTCAGAATTGGTTTTCTCCGTGACGCGTTGTTAGCTACAAGTTGTTACATAATGTAGTAGATAAGCAGGCAATAGCATATAAACCCAGCGTGTGGATAAATTATCGTTCATCACAAGGCCACGTGCACCTTAAGTTTTTCTTCACCTTCTTGTTCTTGGATTACGTTAGTATCTCGCACACTTTTGGCTTACATTCGTATTTAACTAGTACATTAATATCTCCCCTCATAAGCGATAGGAACAATTACCCCATTGTTCTAATTAAGTACATCAAGCCTCTCTGAAGAGTCAAACAATTATGGCATCGCTCACAGTCCCATCTCCTCCTCGGATCGTGATTTACTTCTCTACGGATGGATTAAGTCAAGGTTTATCTTTTTGTTCTTTTATTATCAGTGGAACCACAAAAAGTCTTTGAAATACTTTTAAGATATAAGTAGAGATAAATGCCCCTTTCGATTCCCCAAGAGAGAAAAAAGAGCCATGCTTTGTACTGCCCAGCTTTTGTCAATTTCTCTGTTTAGTCGGCCATAATGTGCTTTACGTTTTCGTCAATTCAAGTGAATGTGGCGTGAACAAAATTGTCACTGAAATGTCTTAATCGCACAATGAAATGAACCCAAACCTATGCTTTTTAAAAGACCCACAACAATTTATCATTGGTGACGTAATTTTTCATTTGACCCCTTACAGATCATAGGTAAGAACAAATCGTCCAAGAAATCAGTGTTCTTACAATGTTATATGAAATTTCGCCGATAGAATGGACAAAGCAAATTTCGGTCTTCAATGTACTCCTATCCGCTGCTCAAAGATAGCATGTGATGTCTATGTCATTATGACCTGCCATGTAGTATTGTCTCATCCGCTCCTTCCCCCCCCCCCCGAGGAGAAACGGGGGGAGGGTACGGCTACACATGGGTTTAGAGTAGGAATCCATTTTCCACCTGCTGGGTCCTTTTCTTTTTCCGGCCGGCAATTCCGGAAATAAACCATGCTTTTCCATGACAATGGTACGAAATGTGCCAACTTTTTTCATTGTTTCATTGTTCGAAACTATAACTCGAAAGTTCCGTTCTTAATTGGATATGTTAGACCTCGGAAGTACGCCAATACTTTTACCTCCGCAAAAATTCCCTTGAAAGAAGATTCAGTGACGTTTTTCTTCCTTTGTCAACGCGCCAGGGATATGTATATGCCGGAATTCCGTTTCTTAAAATTTGTTTGTAAGAAAATAATTGTTGGAAGCTTTCTTTCAGCTTTCACATCTATCATTTAATTGTTGAAAAAGAAGGAGTAGGGGCCGGTGCCAAGTAGGCACGAGCGCGGGCTCATTTTCCAAACAGCGGCTGATTTTCGGGCCCACAAACCAGATTTTGAACGGCTCTTTGTATGTTTGCCTTACTTTGTTTTGAAGGCAATGGCAGCAATGCAGGAATAAAGCATCTACCAAAATGAAGCATTAGTTTTATGACCAATTTTTCGCGTGCAAGCTGTCTTTTTTAGTGGTTTTAAAAATATCGTTTTGAAAGGAACTGTGTTTTTCTGAACAGTCTACTAGCGCCTTAGAAGATTTCGCGGAATTGTCTTCTTATCAGACGGATGGTAGAAAGCACTATCTTTTTTTTTTTAACTCTAGCGCCATTCATTATTTGAAGTGTCAAGCTTAGGCAATGGAGCACCAGTTAGGAGAAGTCGTATTATTGAGCCATGATAAGTAAAACAGATGGAATCCATGAAAGGCTAATCAGCGAACAGAATAATTATCACGGGCATCAATTGCCGAAGGTATTTATCTAACACCTTACCTAGTTGGCTTGATCTGAAACGTCATTCTCTGAAAGTGTCTCATCTAATCACTTCCATTCTTAAGAAAAGACAGATTTGGCCAGATAACTTACGACTACTGGTTAGACGACATCTGTTGTCGAGGAGATGAAGAGTCCATTGAGCAATGCGAACACAGGGACTGGGGAGAACACAACTGCCGCAGATATAATCAAGCTGGTGTCGTTTGTAAACTGCATTTGAGTGAGAGCGTAACTTTTGCGGAGCCGGCAAAATCCATGAGTGAGGTAGGGCATAATCACAGTTTTATATAATGCTCAGTGCTAATTATAGATGGACCAAGGTTCTAAATTAATTGGCTCCGAATAACCAAGTGTTTTGGGTGGTGTGTTCTTAACAGTTTACAGCCTAACATTAGAATCCAGTTTCTCTCCACTGTTCTCTAAAGTGCTGACAAGGAGAATAGGTTTAGCAATCAAGAGCTTCCTTAGTTGGTGATCATTTCCTTTGTTCTCGTGATCTTAATATGGGTCTAATGTGTGATTCGGGGGTGACTTTGTAGGGAAATTATAGATGCCAGTCAATCCAAGGGGTTCTAAGGGTTTAAGTGCTGTCTTCTTAAGAGAAGCAAACTTGGCGATGGGCACTTACAAACTGTTTACTTTCAACAGTAATCAAAGTTTCTCTATGTATACGGGTAGCAACTCATCATATGCTCATCGCAGGTTTTGAGCATGAAAGTCAGGTTACAAGGCCCAATTGTTGATGACTACATATCAGAAGGTGTCGTCCAAGTAGAGCATGAGGGAAAGTGGGGTTATATTTGTCCTTCTCAATGGACTCAGCTCAACTCGTACGTACTGTGCGGTCAACTGGGATTTCCTAACGCTGAGAAACTTGAGTCCCATACAGAAACCATCCAAGATGTGGAGCCCGTCTATTGGCTTGACCAGGTGACGTGCAAAGGATGGGAGGCATCGATTGTATCATGTGACAATAACCATGACCTCACACCTAAGCAGTGTGAGGGGGGAGGGGCAGTGAGAATTGAATGTACCAGGAGACGAGAAGACAAGGTTAGTTGATCACACCACTTTACTGTAGATGGTCAGCTCATGGTTATTCAGCCAATTATGCGAGTTTCGTGATTAAGAGCTGGAAATTGTCAGCCTCATTTTACAGGGTATCTCATCCTCTTCCCCCGCGATTGAGTTGGAAGAAGGAAGAGTCTGGAAACTAGGTTACGTAATCGAGTGTGTGCGCCATGGACAAAGACGTAGTTTTGAAAAAACAAACGTTAGGTATGGAAATCTCCAATTTATTATATGGGTCACGGGAGGGTCTCAAGAAAAGTTTTCCGTTGGAGAGCCCTGTGCAATGTTAACCATCATTTGTTAAAAGTGAGGTCATGATACATATTTTTATCGTCAAGCCACTCTCCATTCGCCTTCGAAGTGGTGCCCAGATGTCCGAAGGGCGCGTGGAGATCAAGTACAAACAGTCTTGGGGAACTGTGTGCGATGATCACTGGACTCTGAAGGAAGCACATATTGTCTGCAGGTCATTGGGATTCGGTTCTGCGGCAGCAGCAACAAGGGCGGCGCATTATGGCAAGGGTGTGGGAAAGGTAAGTCATTGATTTTACCTTTACTAATTACTGACCCCGTAAATCACGTGTGTTAGTTTTAAGAATTGCACTCTTGGATGAAGAGGGAATGTATGCAACGGAGCCGAAGTGTTTTGACGGACCATCGTTTTTCCCGGTGTTATGAGCGCAAAGAGACTATGAGCATTGTTTAAGTAGGTTGTTGAGCCACTGCAGGCTACTCTCTGGCCCCGTCGGCAGTTTCCCTCAGATTTCGTTTGCAGTTACACTCCTTGGCGAGAGTACAAGTTTTGTAGGAGTTAATGTTTGTCCCTAAACCACACCACAATTACTCGACACGAGATTAATCGCGAGAGAGTGAATGTTAGAGTCAACTAAATTATTTTGAATGATTGGGGTCTTTAAGGTTGTAACAATTCAAATCTTTGAAAGGAGTGAATTGCTCGTAAGCATAAACAATAACAACAACAGAAAGAACAAGGACACCAAAGAAGTAAATTTGAACGGTCCCTTCTACATCGTACGTGATTTCCAGGAAATATCCTCAATTCATGAGGAGTCAATTAGGGGACTATTTTCAGGAAAAAAGATATTTTATGACGTGTACTGTGTTTTATGTTACAGATTATGCTCGATGACGTTCACTGCAAAGGAAGTGAGCGTAGTATAACTGAGTGTCGTCACCATGGCTGGTACAAAACAAATTGTGATCATTATGAAGATGCAGGCGTCAAGTGCCACGCCCCAGAGCTTCAAGGTCACCAGGTAAACAGTTTCCGTACCACTCAATGGAAGTTTGCTGAGCTAAGAAAGCAACTCTTAGGCAACTGCCTTTTGGAATAACGATACCTCTAATTGTTAAACTTTTGGTTCGTTACGAAATCATGCATCGCAAACGAAGCACCCAAAAGTCATTCCTGAAAAATGGCCTCTATTAGGATTACCCCATTTCTGTGTAAATTCAACATATATAAAAATAAATCGAGGAATTAACGACTTCGAATAAACCGCGATTGTTATCTAATGAAAATATAGAAGTAAGCGAATCCCTTATAGACAAGGATCTACTTGAGATCTCAAGATTACATTGATAGGTATGTATTGTTAACATCCGGCCTTTTTCTTCTGGCTCATGCAACTCACTGACTTGGTGTGATTTTGGAAGTTTTAAATTCGCTGGCTATTCTAAGTCAGCTCCAATTTATTTGATATTTTTCATATACCCTAGAATAAAACGACAAACGAAGCCCTTTGGCTGTCGTAAACTAATTTTTGTCCAAACGAGGCTTGAATGTTCTTCTTTAAACAGATCAGGCTTAGTGGTGGTGGTAACCCTACCGAGGGTCGAGTTGAAGTCTTCCATGATGGCAAATGGGGTACCGTTTGTGCTGATGGATGGGGAATAGAAGAAGCCATGACAGTTTGCCGACAGTTGAATCTTGGATTTGCTAGCAAGGCTGTGGTCGAAGATAACTTTGGGGGAGAAGTTCTTCAAGTGATTTTATCTGGAGTTCAATGTCGTGTAGACGCGATATCTATTTACAAGTGCGAGCATGACGAGTTAGAGAATACCACATGCAGCAGCAAGGGCAGAGTAGCTGGGGTTGTTTGTGTTGACGGTAAGACGCGGATAATGAAGTGTTGTGAAGTACTTCAGTAGTTAGTTAAGTTTTAGTTAGTTTTTTATGGTTAAAATTTAGTCAAGATTTGAATTCAAAGTCCAAAGATATTTGGGTTTTAGCTATCGAGGCGAGTTTCCTGATTGTGACCGTCTCAGCTAACTTCCATTGGTGGACGTGTTTAGTTTGTCCACTGACCCTGCCAAGGACCCTCACTAAAGTTCATGTTGTGGCCTTGGCGGTCAAAGGTTTACGGTTTGAATGGAAGCATTAGTGCGTTGTTTTTACATTTGTGAGTTTTTTGTGAGTGTTTGGGTTGTCGTTCTGACCACAAATGTTTAATTTCCAAGGTCAGTGCGTGGCCGCGTGCGCACTCATGCCTACCGCTAGTGAATACAAAAGCGCGTACTACACAGTTCGTAATCAGTATCGATCAGAGTAAGAGTCAGGTGACCAGTGTAACTCAGAGGATGTAAGAATCTATCAGTCAGTCAGAGTCAGAATTGTTAAAGAGAAGAGACGTCAGTAAGAGAAATGAATTTGCTGCACGTAGAATTGCATCACAGGACAAAGATTAAATAAGACTTGAAGACTATGCATGGTGAGCTCTGCAGTTAGCTTCCCCAAAACAAGCGATAGCGGAAGGATCATTATTCAAGGAATTCCATCTTTTGACACAACCTCCTCGCCACACAGAAACGTATTCCTTTATACAGATATCGAAGAATCTGATAGAAAAAGCCAAAGAATGCCCTCAACCAATAAGGTTGAGGTTTTAAAAAGGCTAATGCGGTGTTGATGCCATTTTGAATTCTGCGTTGTTAGTTTTCATGATCCAACAAGCATTTGATGCTAAGAATGCACCAAACGCCTTTTTCCATATTCCTCCACAGCCCTTCCTGATATAGTGCCTGACGTGGAACTGCTACGAAAAGACATAAAGATGCAGAGTATTCCATTGGAATACTTGAGGTGCCCTCTAGAAGAGAACTGGCTTTCAGAATCCGCTAATAATGTCAGGTAAAAAGTAAACTTAATCAAGTTGAAAAAAACAAAAACAAAACAAGCAAACAAAAAAACAAACAAAAAGGTTTTGTCTAAATCATTGCCTGCTTTCAAACAAGAGAAACCAGAAGACATTTACATAAGATGATAAAGGCTCTGAAAACTGTTCCCTTTAATGAGGGGAAGGGAAATGGCACCGATAGTGAAGATATTATCAGAGAACTTAAGCAGAGAAGATTTTGAGACGCGGACGGCAATCGAAAGAAAAGCTAATTCTGAAAACAAACTACACACGTGATTCATTCTCAATTCAAGGTGAACCATGAGTTAAAGTTTCCCTTAGTTCTGAGACAAACGACCTGTCTGACAGGCAACTTGCTACTTAATAGGGAAACTAAATTAATTTCATTTGTGTCACTAATAAATGAACTTCCCTCTTCCATTAAGATGTATAGATGAAACTGATTGAGTTTCCATTTGTTATCCTCAAATTTCAGAAATACAAGATACCACTCAAGGCGTCTCTTGAGATTCAGTGTCAAAACTGAAAATCAAGGATTGGCAGATTTCAGACCGAAGTTTCCTAAGTCTGAGTGGCAGTGGCACAAGTGTCATAAGCATTATCACTCTATGGAGACCTTTACTACTTATGATCTCATCGGTAAGTTAAACCTATTAACTCACGCGATCTCAAGGGTAATTCTCCTCCCTGACTGCTATACAATTCTTATGACGTTAGTTGGGAGAATTTGGTATTGGATCAACTAATGGTTTCCTAATTGATATTTTTCTCTCTTCTCATACTTGTCTGCTTGATATTGAACTGATACTGTTTAGAGTAAATGGTCACTCATGGGAGTTTAAGGGTTAATTGGAAAGTTCCCGAGGGTTTTGAATCCAGCAATTTGTTGGGAATTTCTCTCGTGGCTTCAAGCTATATCTAAGACTATGAGCACAAAGGTTAAAATCTAAATAAGTTGATTTTTTTTTTTAAGATGTTTGTTTTTATAATTCTAATTTTCAAATTATGCTTTCGCCAATTTGTTGCGAAAAGGTAGTTTTTAAAAGAATTGTAACTGATTCTTGTAGAGTATTAGAGTTAATGTTATATTTAATTCCCTAAGGTAAAGAATCAGGAGAAAAAGTTGCTCAAGGCCACAAGGCTAGCTTTTGCCTTGAGGACACAAAGTGTGATCCCGGATATGACAAGATATTTAACTGTTCTGAGGAAGGTGGTCAGGGGATTTCTCCAGGCTGTTACGACATTTACAACTGGAAAATTGACTGCCAGTGGGTGGACTGCTCAGATTTCTCACACGGAACATTTTATTTGCGAGTTCATCTGAACCCTGGCAACCAAGTGGCTGAATCAGATTTCAGAAACAACGTGGCGAAGTGTTCTGTGTATGACTATGGAAATTATATCGTCACAAGCAAGTGCAGGATCGGTGAGTCGTTCACAGCTTACATTGCTTTGAAGTGATGTAGAAATCAGTCGACATGTCTCGACATTAGAGAAATTCTAAAAAATTCTTAGTTCGTGAACTTACAGAGAGCAATATATTAACAGCTAATGAAATGCTCTTTAACCTTAAACAGGAAAATTGCACTTTAAAGAGCTCGTTTAAAGTTACATGTAAACGCGATCTAATATCGCGGGTAAGGCTTATTGACTACAGTCAAACGTCAATGGCAACCCTCTCCTCAGGTGGTTTGCAACCAGTAAGCTAACAGAACCTTCCTCTTAATTCATGTGTCACACGTAATAAGACGCAGTTTTAAACCTTAGAGAAATACGTTCTGAAACAGGCCTAAAAAACACGATGGTACTTGGATCCTGAAAATTTAGTATTTAAAATTTTGAGGCTTTGACCACGGCAACTAACGTAATCTGCATCAAAGTTGAGAGAACGAAGCGGGGATTTGTTGAAGGGGTTCATTGAGCAACGACTTCTACAGGGATGCCACCCCTCCGTCACAAGTGATCTTGCCGTGATCACGATCATTAAACGCCCACAGAACCGCCAGCTGCGCTGGTTGTTTCTACGGTTACTAACGTCAGCAAAGAAACTTCTGTGAAGACTACGACCCTTAGCAACTGATCAACAACCCCTTATTAACCAAGTGTGAGGGCTGTACTGGGGAGTTTTGGTTCGAGGTCGAGGCATTTCTGAGCGAGCACAGCCAGGTCTGAATGACGAACGACTTTGATCTAATATTCCCCAGTACGGCTCGAGCAAGCGGGGTTGGTAAGTAGTTTATTATGTGGAACTTGGGCCAAACTTGTTTACTTTGAATTTTCCAACTTTTGAGAACAAAAATACACGACTTATTGCCGTTTTCGTGGGAACAGCCTGCCTGGAAAAATCCAGACCAAGTAAGAACCAATCAGAACGCTCAGATTTATCTCAAGACTACCTTGTCATAAATTAAAAAGTGATATCGTGCAGGGTGCAGCAGGTAGCAAAGAATCTGTACTTTTTCAGTTTATGATGGGGTGAATTATTTCTTTCCTATTATGTTTCCTAGAGGATTGTGACAGTGGTGTGGACACCCATGGCGGGAATTCAGCCGGAAATTGCTGTGTTTTTCCATTCCTGTACAAACGTAAACTGTACCACGACTGTACAATGGACGGCTTCACATTGAAATGGTGCTCAACCACGTTTGACTTCAAAAAAGATGGCAAGTGGGGACTGTGCTATAACTAGGTTAGTTGCTTCCTTCCCGCGTCGTCTCTCGCTTTATCTTCCAATGACTTTTAAACAAAAGATCAAGCAGATGACAGTTGCAAAGCCTGAGAAGTCACAATTACACGCTCAGAGTGTAATCAGATTCTTATGTGCACTCGACAACCTTCCTTTCCAGGCCACAGAAACTTTCATATCTGAAGTTAATTTGTAAACTATGCTACTCGGTATGTCACTGCCTCTCTGCTTGGGCCTACAACGGTCCATAGAGCTTGCTTTTGTTTCATTATATACTACAAGGTAATTTTTTTGTTTTTCTGTTTCTTTTTGGATTACAGGTCAGCCATGGAGTGGGCAATCTTTTTCTATTCTTTGTTATGAGGCTTTAACGCATCTGCAAATCTTCACCATTTAATAAACGCTTTCCAAGTTTTCACCAATCGTATTTAGACGTATTTCTAAATTTCCTTGAGTACGTTCTTTGATTTTCAAAGCTCAATGTATACAAAAGATGCTTTAGTAAATTTTAAGAATTGGCGTTCTTACCGACATTTTACTCCATGAACAACGAGCACTTACGTTGTACCAAATTCTAGGTTACAATCAGTTGTTGTTTTTTTATCAATTATGACCACACAAACAACACTACTTACATCAACTACATTAAGGATACCGACACGGAGTTCTCTACGTACACTGCGTTACAATACTTACATTATGGTACTTGCAGTACTCTTACGATGTAATTAATATTCATGCTACTTACATTTTTCTACTTACACCACTTACAAAGTGATACTGCAAACAAACAGACATATTTCGAGGCACCTTTTTCACGAAAAAGGGGGATTTTACCAGCCAACTTATGGACTAGAAATGTGACAAGTGTCTTAGAAACTACAATAGAAAGAAATGTCAAGAGTATCGTGCGTGAAGAGAAAGATGCTCAACAAGTTTCTAGTTTTAGCATCAAATGAGATACCGAGTAACGTTGGAGATTGGACATAAGGTACCATAGCTTTTACAGTGGCTTTACAAGCCTTGCACGAAATATCTCTCATCAAAGGAAGGAAAAGAAGTCCTCTCCAATTCGACGATTTTTCAACTACGTCTTGTTAAACATACATTGTGGTTTTTTTACAATCTTAATGGTATACTAAAGTGTTTAGTAAGAACTCTCAGCTTTGAATTAATAGTATCCCAGTCCATGTAAACTAACTCGAGGAAGCGGCTTGATGTCTCAGTAAGTTGGAAGGCGGATCTACCATGAAACACGCGGTTGTTATTGAACGATATCACATCACCAGGCACCATTTTATATTCTATTTGATTAGCAGGACCTCTAAGAATTCTTCCATACTTGAGGTAAGCCTCGTACAGTTCCACAGCTTTCTCCGGGGAGAGATACGTGAAGGGGTCGCGTGCAGGATCGTTTAAGGCCAGTCGGCTCAATTTACCATTATCATCCAACCTGCAACAAAGGTGTCTTACTTGTATGAAGGGATCAGGTGACGTGGCTATCTACTGTCAACTGTTCAATTCACTAGTTTATCCATCTAACAGGTTGAAAAATTATTACTCCTGATATCAGAGAAAACATACAGAGCTCCTCGGGTTCGTCTTTCGAAAAGACGGTCTCTTAAGGAATCTTGTTCAGGTCACCAGGACATTATCGATCTGCGACACCAAGGTCGGTGGCCCGTAAGGTATATTTTTGAATACATAATCAACGATTCAGAGGACTTTAGAGCCACCTGACATTCTACACTAACTTAAAGTGGCTCTGACCCATTTCAACAGCAAACTTACTCTATTGTGGCATGAGAGGATTTCATGTGAAATTCACCAAACACGTCCTTGCCGCGGTCACTGAATTGAATTGGAGTGGTAGACAACAGCTTGAAAGACTCTGGGTCACTTTCTTTCAACTGCTTTGCGGCGTAAAATCCGTCGGCAAACTGATTGGCGCCACCTTGGCTCGATACTTGCTCGATACAGTGAAGAAGTTGTACCTTGACAAAACGCAAAATGTAGCTAAATACAGGGTTCCGTGGATGCTTTTCCCGCTCGCATTTAACCGAAAAAAAAAAATGACGAAACTCGACGGACGCGATAAGGTTCAAGAGATAAATCGAAGGCGACTGGCTTCTCGCGCCGTTGAAATTAAGAAAGTTTAACTCGGTATTATATTTAGCTTTTGACCACCCAGAAGCAGACTGGAGCTGGATACCTTCGCCTGGGATAAACTAACGTTACAAATTTCCATCTTCTTCCCTTTTTCATTTTATATACTTACCCCGGGTTGATAATCCAAATAAGGCAAGTCACCGTGAAGAGGAATGTCGTCTGTGGTATAAGCCACGTTGTTTGCGTCAAACTTGGCCCGTACGTCGGTGCTATGACTGCAAGTTAGAAGTTATACTTGCCTTGAGGGTTATAATCAGACGACAATACCTTAGAGCAACCCTTAGAATAGGAAACACTAACATTTGGTCAGTACTTACGAACTACAAATTTATCAGCCATCATAGTCGCAGCTAGTAAGTATTACGCTTGTTGCCAAAGACTATATTGATTAGAGACGTTAAAAAACTGGGTCCGGGTATTTTCTTCTCTCACCCAGTGAGTAGGGATCTCTTCATATGGTGGAATACACTAGCCGTAAAGATCTGTTTTGTAATATACATGCATTACTGTGAAGATAAATCTGGAAGTGTGCAAACAAAAGCAGAATTTGTCTCTTAATAAAATCGAACGGATTGCATCTTTTGGTCAGTCAACGTCGGTAAGTTCAAAATGTTAGAAGTTTTACTTTCAACGACTTTGAAAGTTATTCCCCAATATATAGCGAAGTCAGCAGCTGAATGAATTGTTTGTTTGAGTGGAGCAAAATTTATTGAGAACACTTCTGAATCTTCAATTCTTTGAGGATTTTTTTCCAAATTATTCTTTTTTCCCTAATTTCTTGCTGTCCTGGGCTCTCTAGGGTTCCAATTCAGATAACTATATATGCCAAGGTAGAGTCTACCTTGGCATAAAGTGCTCAATGCTGTGGTGGCAGAGCTAAGTATATATAAGTTAAAGAATTAAAGAGGACGCATGGATTCTCTCTGACTCTGAGTTTCGCGCCTAAGCGCTCGTCAGACAGAAAAGTTCTGTCTGACGAGCGCTTAGGCGCGAAACTCAGAGTCTGTCGTGTTCCCAGCACGGCAGACACGGGGTGTAGTGTAATTGGGTTCGCCAGGTTAACCAGAGTGAAGTACAGGACGAACAGCAGACTCTTACACACGTTTATTGGACTAAATCATGTAATCAGGCTAGCCGACTTGTTACAACACTTGCGGTGAAAACTAAAAAAGAACGCACGCTTTGTCTAAGCTAAGGCCACGAGCTAAATTACAAATCAGACGACAGAAAACACAACTAAAAACTATTAGGAACTCAACGATCGTGACTTACGTCTGATCTTGACTCCGGGGATGAGAAAGCTCCAAGTCAAAAAAACTCCGAAAGACTCCTACAAAACTCCTCTTTGCTCCAGGGATAACTCCTTAAAACTTAAATGTTCGCGTGAAAAAAGGCCTAATATACTTCTATGACGTAAAGGAAACTAAACTGAAACAACTCTTTGTACGGCTAGCCAAAAAGGATATTTTATAATCACGTAATCAAAACGAAACAAGGCTACATTTTAAGAAAACAAAAGGTCATATAATGTTCTAAAGCGTTCTTTGTACAGCAACGTGACAAAGTCACAGAGAATCAATGCGTCCTCTTTAATTCTTTAACTTATGTATATATCTACAGGTACAATGAATATATGAAGTTCATATATATTTTGAACTGCGGTTTTAGATATGTATGATGCACGATCCTCGCAGTAGAGTGCGCTATTTATGCAATAGCGAAAATCAGACCTGAAAAAAATCAGGCCTGTACGGGATTTCGAACCACTGACCTCTGCGATACTAGTGCAGCGCTCTACCAATTGAGCTAACAAGCCAACTGGGAGCAGGCCGTTAAGTTGATTCGTAATAAACCCGTGAAAGTGATAAATG